GTAGACTATAACTATTGCAAGGGTGTAAATAACTAAGGATCACTGTGCATGCTAACAGGGGAAGGTAGAACTGAGAGTAATGGGATCACATTTAGAAATGGTAAAATTAGGCCAACTATTCAGGCAAAACTTCCTGATTCCAAGGTGTGTAAAACTGAAACGTAACATGGCAGAAGAGAGCCCACAACAAAGATAAAACAAAGAAATCAGACCTCAACTCCACAAATCCAGCGCCAATGGGAGCTTTGGTACCTGGCACCTCAAAACCATCAGGCTCCCTCTACTTGGACAACACCAACTTATTTCTGGTAAGACATAACTGGAAATCTATTTGGGCCTCCAGGGGGCCCAGTTGTCCAGAAATTGGTCTGAATGTTTTATTGGATTTAAGAGGTTTTTTGTTTTTAGATTCTGGCCCTTAGCAGTTTCAAGTTCTTTATTCTCTAGAACAGAAACCCAAGGACACTAGCTTGTGTCCTCTTTGCAGATTTGAATCACAAACAAAAAGTGTGAGGGGGAATGTGACAGACCCCCCCCCCACCTCCATGCTTTATGAAAGGGACTTTATGGACATGAATTTATGTAACTCAAAGGTGCTTTGAGCGAATTGTTTCGTGTATGTAACCCATCGATCTTCATGTGATGCTCCACTGGTTCTGTTTATCATACTCTAACATATGTATTGTGTGTGTGTAAAATTAGACCTATGGCGTGGGGAATACTTTGTGGGTTTCAAATGTGTGAGTGAGAGACAGGGAGGGTGTTAAACAATCTCTTTTGTCCTTAAGGCTGAGCAGTGGTTGGTAGGGATTCCTTAACAAAAAGAATAGGAAAGCAGAGGCCTGGGTCTTTCGGCTGGGCTGCACCTGAAGGAAGGAGCCGAAGACCCCAGGGTGGGGAGACAGCCCTTGGTATAGAGGAGCAGCTGGAAAAGAGGTTTCAGGGTGAGTGCGTAAGTTTGTACTGACATTTCAGAGGAGAATTAGCCAAGCCCTGTTTCTTTTGATTTGTAACCTGCTTTGCTCTGCCTGTTCTCACTTATTCTCACTTAAATCTCACTGCTTCTGCTTCAAATCATTTTTATTTGCTATCAAACCCAGTGTAAGAAATTGATACCTCAGGGGGAGGGGGGAAACCAGTGTGTCCATTCTCCCTTTCATTGCTAAAGGGGGCGTATCTAATTCTTTGGGGTCTGAGCCCATCTGGGGAGTGGTATCCTGGGAAGCTGGGCCCGATGCTGCACTCTCCTTCCACCTGAAGACGTTCAGTGTCTGTGCTGCTTCTCGGTGGGGGCAGGGATCTCAGCTCGGGGTCTTGGCTGGGGCAGCCAGTGGAGCTGGCCCAGCAGGACCGAGCGGTGAGGAGCCCCAGAGAGTGGGAAGGGGAGTGGCAGTGGCCGTGTCAGCATCCCAGGAGTCACCCCCGAGGGGTGTCTGTGACCGTGCCCCGCCACAGGGAGACTCACGGTTTGTCACTCTCACACAGCCACTGGCTTGATTCTTAGGGTCCAGAGACTGGAACCCTCTGAAGTGTATCAAAAAGCAGCCCTGGGGGTCCCGTTTCATAGCAAGGTCTTTGCCTCTCCCTAGGCACGGTTAGTCTCCCTTGTCACCATGGAAACAGGACAGGGCCACTTCATTGGCTACGCATATTCATTCCATCTTAAAGAGAGAGTGTACAAACCTCTTCTGCCCACAGACACGGCCGGAAATTATTCAATCGTGCACAAGAAACTTGAGAGAGAAATAGGGGTAGAGTGTAAGAAGCCCATTATTGCAAGGCAGAAATAATGCTTTCAGGTACATTTAATTCACATGAGAAGTTCTGAATTGACAGCCCAGAGACTCTCATCCTCTGTCCAGCAAAAGACCCTGCAAGACTCTGTTGGGATCCCAACACTTTCCCACCACGGACTGGTGCGGGAACACCACAATGGAGGAGGGTACTCCCCTTGTTAAAAGTTTCAGTCCTTGGCCTCTATGTGACACCGGCAAAAGGATGAAAAATGATTGTTTTTGGCAGTGTATCTTTGCAATGTGACCAGATAGTAACCACCCACGCAGTCAAAAGCCTTCCACAAATAACAACTTTAGGACGGCAATTTCAAATGTCTCCCTCCCCATATCTGTGGGGTTATTTGAAATGGTTTGCAAAGGTTATTTCCAGTAAGTCCTAATTTGAAGTATAGTTGGTGCCTTTTGGGGCCCCATCCCTCAAGAAATTTATCTGAACACTCTATTGGATGTCACAGGTTTAAAAAATATCTGGGTTTCAGCAGTTTCAAGTTCTTTAGTTTCTAAAACACAAAAGGACTGTATCCCCTTTGAAGACCCGAATCACAAACAACCTTGCACGTGGGGCTTGGAGCAAGATGAGTGCTGAGAGTAGTAGGATGGGGCCAGGCACTGGGCCAATAGCTAGGATCCAAGCTCCTGGTGATGTGAAGGGTTGGGATACTGAGTGTGGGTCGATGGCCAGGAGAAGGACACAGGTGTGGGAAGCACCCCCCCCCCCCAATTTTAGTTCAACACTTGCACTGTGTAGACATCTAGAGTTACATTGCTTGAGCATTTTGAGACTGACTCATCAAGAGGTTCTTTTAAAGGACTTCAAAAGTTTGTATCTTAGACCCTGATCCTGAAAACATGCAAACATGTAATATTTCATCAGGGAGCAAACTCCGAGAATACTGCAGGACCACTCCTGGAAGTAAAAGATCCATGAATGCTGTATATGCAGGACTAGGGGCTCAGCAAGGAAAACACAGCATATCCGCTGGCAGGCTGATTAGGTGCACAAGTGGTTTGCTCTCATCTGAAAATGCCCATTTGCTGATGACTGGCTGCTGGATGAATTAGGAAAACAGGTGCTCAAGGACAAAGAGGGCTCAATTCAGGAAGCATTAGAGGGACCCGTGTGCAGAGATGGGGTCTGGCTGACAAGGAAATAGGTTTCTTTCCCCAGAACCCAAGGGTGAAAGCATGGCACTTAAGGAAGGGAAAATTACTAATTAACAACAGGTGTGCGGGACATTTAGCATCATGAGGGCAACAGCAGTGCTGGAAGATTTTTTAATAAGGGTGTGGGGAGGGCATTGGACCAGAAGGGACAGCTGGGACCCCCACATGTGGGCCAAGAGCAGAGACCTGGCAGTGGGGGGCCAGACTCAGAGGCCTGAGTATGGGGCAACTGGCTGGGGAGGGTAGATGCCAGTGTGGACCCTGAGAGCAGGGGGATGGGGTTAGGTACTGGGCTAGTAGCAAGATCCCAAGCCCCAGGTGATGTAAGGGGTTGGGGAGCAGAGTGTGAATTAAGGGCTAGAAGGAGCAGGGCTCAGGTGTAGGAAGTAGCCCCAGATGTTATGTGCAGTGTGATGAGGCCCCCCTCCCCGCTTTATTAAATGGACTTGTGGACATGAATATACAAGATACAAGGTGCTTTGAGGGAATTATTTTGTGTAACCCATCAACCTCCGAGTCACAATCCGCTGGGTCTGTCTATCTTACTTTGTGTGTATCATTTGCATGTGTATAATTAGACATAGGGAGACATACTTAGTGGCTTTCAAATGTGTGAATGAGAGACAGGAAGGTTGTTAATCTCTTTTGTCCTTAAGTCTGTGCAGTGGTTGATGGGGGGGGCCCTCACTTCCTTAACAAAAAGACTAAGAAAGCAGAGGCCTGGGTCTTTTGGCTGGGCTGCACCTGAAGGAAGGAGCCAAAGACCCCAGGGTGAGGAGACAGCCCTGGTGTGGCGGGGCAGCTGGAAAAGAGGTTTAAGGGTGAGTTTGAGTAAGTTGTAGATGCTGCTTGTAATGATTAGAACTGGGAGCATTGGCTGTTGGGAAGCAGGAAGACTGGCAGGGGCTGAGTGAGCTACTGAGGGATGCAGCAGCTTTGTAAAGAGGCTAAACTTTTGGTAAAGCCCTGTTGAAGTTTGTTAGCAACTTGCTTGCATGATACAACAGTTTGTACTGAGGTTTCAGTGTAGAATTAGCCAAACGTTTTATTTCTTTTGATTTGTAACCTACTTTGTTCTGCCTGTTCTCCCTTATCACCATTTAAATCCCACTGCTTCTACTTAATAAAATCACTTCTATTTTCTATCAAGCCCTGTGTAAATAATTGTTACCTGGGGAGGAAACCAGTGTGCACATTCCCCCTTTTAGGTAAACCATCTTGAACAATGTCAGTTTTGAGGACTACACTTGATTTGGTGATTGACTCTTTTCTGTTAATTTTATTCCTAGCACATCCTGTTTTCGTGGCACAACCAAACCCCTATGTTGCTTTAAGTTAAGAGGAAGCTGTAGGCCAAATTTGGTGGTCTTATGTCTTACTATTTGGGAGGCATTCTTGAACAAACAAATAGCCAAACTCTATATATATATATATTATTTGCTGTGTATTTTAGAAAGGATACATGGAAAAAACCACAGTGCAACCAGTGCAATGTAAAAAGGCATGTTTGTACATGTTTATTAACAAATTTACATTCCACTATGAAACATTTACATGCAAAAAGTAGAAGAACAAAAAAGTTCAGTTTCTCAAAACATGTTGTGTAACTATCCTATGCAATGGCTAAATGGGTCTTAAAACTAAACCTTGGCTCTTTTCTGTGCTGTTTTCTTTGATTAAATAGGTTTTCTTCTGCTTAAAAGATATTCCAACCTACTTCCATGTGTGCCTTTAGTGAATAGGCTTGTATGTTTCAACTCAAATTCAATTAATGAAGCTACAGCCCTGTGTTTCCAAAGGCAGAAAATTAAATATGCTCAAAACTTGAATAAGACAGAGTAGTAGAGTGATATCACAGGAAACTTTTTCTGGGTCTTTCTTAAAAACAATGGCTAAATTCCTTTCTGTCTTCTCCATGTCCACAAACTTGTGATGGAACAAACACCAGTTTTTTTTTCAACTGTTTGTTGCTATTCCTACTAGCTCCATCCAGGAGACTGTTCGTAGATCATTCATGTAAATACTTATAACTAGCGGGAGGCAGGAGATGGTAACCATTTCTTTCAACTTCATAGGAACTAAATATGCTACCAATATCACCACCACAAAGGCTTATCACAAAATTTTGTCCTCTAGTTTTGGCACAAACCCCTGCTACATCCTTCAGGTCTAATTTTCCTTGACCATGGAATTTAGGCACAAGTATAGAAAACGTAAAATATCCACTGACACAAATGCAAGATAAAAGAAACTTCAACTGAACAGATAAATATGCAGCTACTACAGTGCACGAGTTCTGCTTTTATCACATTCCTGATTTGGACAGGTAGTTGAGACATTGTTTTATGGAAACTTTATTGTACATTAGGCTGGGACAACTTGGTATCATTCAAATCAAAGTATGTTTTTAAAAAGCTTCAAAACCAAACTTACATGCATTTAATTATTGTACTTTTCTGGTCTGAAAAGAAGTCAGACTCAGTGATTCTTCTGCTGTGAATACACTGCTATAGCTATAGCAATCTTACAAAGCTAGTTAAAATACATATATATTAATTCTACAAGATTTAATACATGTAAAAGCCTAGCTATATTTTACAAGTATTTATATAATAAGTGTACATACATTGGACATTAATTCTACACAACTGTTGTCAGACATCAGCCTGTCTAGTTTCCTATTGCTTTGTCACCCGATATTCCCCTGGGAACTGCAAAACACAGGTGATAAACCAAATGCTCAGTTCACTGGAGAGCAAATTGCCAAGTGAGTTAAGACCCTGCTCATGGTGAGGGAAGTACAACCCAAATGCTCTGAATTAAAAATTAGGAACATTTTTTGTCATTTAATGTATATAGGTTAATTCTGTTTTATTTTAAATTAACAGATTAATCTTTTACAACTATGTGAGCTAAGCAAACTCCTAAAGGCCAACCAATGAAACTACTGAATGCAGTGGATTGTAAGAAGTGTTGTGAAGTAACGAGTGCTTGGATTGGTGACTACTTTCCCTTTTTAGAAACAAGCGTTATATCACAAAGCACCCTTAAGACACCTAAGAGTGTGAAAGTAGGAAATGTTATAAAATCCATTTATAAAGCCATTATATTTTCTGATCTGTCCCGTTTCAAGTTTTTTCAGTGTCTACAGTCCTGCAGTGCCAAGAACCCAGATTAGGATGGTTGTGCCTCTTGCCAGTTATAACGTAGAACCTGTCATATGATTCCTTCACTCCTGTGGACTCCAGAGAATGCCACCAAGAGCCCCAGCTACACATGTCTCACAAACAAGGTTAGCCATCCGAGTTAATCAAGGCTGCTAAAACATGGCTGTGGCCAAATCAGATCTTATCATTGTGTGACTGGTCAGAATGAATGGGCCCAAAGAGCATTAAAACATCTGTAAAAATTGCTCCAGTGCAAGTAAAGACCACTCAGCCAAACACAGTTTGGAACTCTGGTTTGATCCCTTTCACTACTCATGCTGGCTTGGTTCCCCTAAGTCCGCCACAACTGCATTTAACAACTAAGGTAAAGGTATAATTGTTAACTGAGTTGTACAGAAATGGATTCTTAAAATAAGTGAAAGTTCCTTGTAATAACATTTGGAATAGAATAGAATAAACTACTCTGTTTCACAGAGATTAAGGACTTGTTCACAATAGAATCACTTGCAGAGATCAGCACTGATCAGTTTTGGACAGATTTTTCCCTTGTAGGTGCATTATAAATCATGATAGAGATTATTTAAAGGGACAAATGTTTATGCTTAGTGATAGCTAGAATTCTTGTAAATCCCCCGATGATAGGTTCAAAGCGTCTTGCTATTTAGTACCCAAAGACACTAATTTTTTTTTTTCAGGTGACCTGTAGATTCCCATCCATTAAATGTTACAATCAAGTGAGTCTGCATCCTAAAATCTTTTTTCATTTCACTCAAAACAGGAAGGCTTTGAACTGCTCTCCATCAATAAAGAAGAAGCAGATTATCTTCTGATTAACACAAAACTCATTTCAATTTGATATAGTGGTTACAAAAACTACTCATTTCTGTTTTACTTGATGCTTCAATGTCAGGTCTTTAATATTAGTTTTTGTACTAACCACACTTCCAGAACAAGTTTCGTGTACTGTTTCCTCAGTGAAATCTGTGTAACAGAATACTGCCTAGAAATAGAAAGTGTTTTAAAATATCAAATCCATTAGGTCTATACCTTGAATCAAGCATTTATGTTTTACTCCCTTTTAATACAATAGAATGTGCCTGAGATTTTGTGCGCACACAAATAAACCTTCTTTAATTAAAAATATATGCATAGCATGCTTTGGAAAGGTTTCTTCACTTAAAATAAACAATTTTTCCTAAAATATAAGATCTCCTGCTTAACTCGTACTGATTGCACTTCCTGAGCGTGCTTTAGCAGCCTTCAGAAAGTTCAGAGAAATGTTATTCTGTTAATACTCCATTATCATTGCACTTACCCAAAATAAACATCCTTCCCTGTTTTTGTACATGCATAGAAAAGTATAAAACTTAACATACAAAATATTTTTAGAAGATGTTCAGATTAATTTCTAAATTGGAAATGCAAACAACAAAGGAACCTGAGTTGTTCCTGTGCTTGTTCTTCAGTACAAAGATGGGTTAGGACCAATTATTCTGGTGCATTATAGAACAGATTCCTTGTTCCTTTTCCTAGAACCTTTAGTGGTATAATCTGACTGCTAACATTTGTAAAATGCAATCATGGGGGCAAAGGGACTAGACAACGTATTGCCCCAGACACACAAATATGAAAGCTGACGATACTGAAAAGCATTTGCTATTGTCTCCCCTTACTCAAGCCAGGGAAGTCTGATACCTAAAGAGTCTCAAAATTTAACCTTTGGTTTCTTTTTTCCTGTGATCGCTTCCGAATTCTTTCTTCTTGCTTCCTCAACTCCATGCACTCTCTCTTACGCCATCTCCCTCTTTGCCCACTTTAACATACACATTCCTTCAACAACTTCCCATTCCACACCCGTATCAGATGTTCAGCCTTAATGTATTATTTGTCCTGCTAGAAGTCTGTTACATAGAAACCACTCAGTCTTCTTTTAAGATACCCATTTTTGATGATGTGCAAAATGGAGCTCCAAGTGCCCCAATCATGCCTGGAAGACTCTGGTTTCTTCTCAGTCCACCCATCAGATTGCTACCTGCACTTAAAAACACAGCCGAATCATGCCTCTGCAAGCCAATTTCTGGCCCTTGATTTTTCCCATGGTCCCCTGCCTCTGGAGATTTGACTGCTCTGGCAATACCCAGCTTCTTCAATCTGTCCACCAGGTTCATCTTCAGTTGGTCTAAGTTAGGAGGGTTATGGGGTGGTTTCAGGCCACACCTCTCCTGCAAGAATGTTTCAGCTGGTCGCGATGCTAGGAAGTTTTCAGAGAGAGATGCTCGAGTCTCAAAAGGCAGAGGGGAAGGACAAGGTGAGTGCGAGGGAGAATTTGGTGGAGTAGAAGGAATGGAAAAGGTTCGTGGGGGCTGTAGTATAGGCAGTTTTTCTGGGATGGGGCTATCGCAAACCTTTGCAGAGATGCCTTGTTCTTGCAAGAGTTTAGCCAGGCTGGTGGTGCTGCTCAAGGTGGTGGTAGGGTCCCTTCTGTTAGTGAGGGATTCTCCAATCGTAAGGCTACAAGACATGGCTGGGGAGCTCACTATTGCATTGACAGTATTATTCCCACTACTTCCACAGGACAATGGAGGGTACATGGAGCTGAAAAAGAACAACACAATCACACACACACACTGGATATCATTATTATTGCACCTTGCCCTCCCTCTGGAAACTTTCATACAACAGGGTAAGGTAATAATTTTTAAAATAACGCTTGTGGTGCTCGGATTAAAAAGTAGATTATCGATTTCATACCTGCATATAACAAGATTCATTACAACTTCAGCCTTTAAGTCAGAAATACAAAGCATAGTGATTTGCAAATCCCTCATTGAAAGACATAAGCCATGAGGAAAAAAGTTAGAAGGCACCACACTGACATTGAGAAAACAACAAATTTTACAGGATCCTACACAACCAAATTACAGAAATAATTACAGTCTAGCACTTTTAAGAGTATTAAAATCACCATGGAGGAAGAATCCTACTACTAAAAATGTTTTAACAAGAGTATATTTAAGAACGGGATTGACTGCCAAGGGCCACAGCACATATTAAACTCATTTCTTTGACAAATCTTAATTTGGAGGAGTTTACTTTTTTAGCTTCAGCCCCAAGGGTAACACCATGACTTAGAACGTTCTAAAGCCAATTATGTCTTAGGACTACTGGATACATTTCATAGAAACGTAATTATAAAAGCATACAAAACATTTGCTCTGCTGAAAAATACATTGGTGAAGGGAGGCTAACAGGTCAAAGCAGTTGCAAATCTGGTTCTCCAAGCTGCAACCTGAAGGATCTTGTAGAGCTGCCACCTCAGCTGGTAAGAGGATTCAACACTCTATGCAGTAAAGGTTGCACTTCTGAAATCCAAGATCCTCTGGTCCAACATGACGTCAGACATTCTAGGGCACGCAGCTCAGCTGAGCTATGGGGGAGCGCCAAGAGCACAGCTCAGCTGGGCTGCAGGGGAGCCAGGAAGCAGAGAGAGGGACAGCAAGGGGGACCATGAAATGACCTCTCTTGGTCCAGAAAAGTCCCTCATCCGGGGCCAGTCAGGTCCCAAGGGTGCCGGACTAAGGAGGTCCAACCTGTACAAAGTTTTCTTCTCTCCCACATATCTTCTCATCTTCCATCTCCAATGCACAAACATTGTCATCATCATACCCCACCTGCATTTGCTACTATAACTCCTCAGTGCTTCAGGAAGCAACATCTAGTTCAGCAATTCTCAAACTGTTGGTTGGGACCCCAAAATGTGTTGGGACTCCATTTTACATGGGTTGCCAGGCCTGGCTTAGACTTGCTGGGGCCAAGGCAAAAACCTTAGCCCGACTGCCCAGGGCTGATGAGGAAACACAAGGACTTCAGCTCCAGGCAGCAGGGCGCAAGTTATCGGCATCCTGTATAGGGCTCAGGTTTTGGCTTTGCCTCCCCGGGAGGCAGCAGGGCTCAGATGGCCTTGGGGTGTAGTGCCCTATCCTAGAGTCATATAGTAAGTTTGTCTGAAGGGGATGGATCATAGTGCAATGACATTTGAGAATCTGATCTAGTTTTAATTGAGAAGGTAGGTGCTGGTTTCTGGTGCACCGCTTTATTGCAGGGCATAGAAAGAAAGCTCCAGACTAGATTTAGAATCCCTTCGGGTAAGAAGTCTCTGACATTCTAAAATCGCAGAACACTAAATTGTATCTAGATCAGGACACTAGATGTATCTAGATCAGACCACTGATACATCTGGACCTCCTCCCCTATGCTACACCTCAGGGGAAACCCACCAACCAACTCCAAGATCCAACATACAACCAACTATTAACACTGCTTGCCAATTATGTATAGCTGTACATGATCCCAAATGCAACAGGGTCATCTTGCATCATGTTTCCTGAAGTATACAATGGCATAAGTTTGGATAGCTACAGAGGTGCTATGTGGGAGGATAAACTACATGTAAAAAGTTAGTTCTTTTTAAAAACCCAGTCACGGCAGAGATCTCAATTACCCCCTGCAATAGTGAATCCCATCAGTAGACTATTTGCTGCATAAAGTTATATTTCCATTTACTGCTCTAAATTTACTTCCACAATAGGAACTGTTGTGTGGTGAAATTAAAGGGATTGAGGTCTAGGGATTTGTGTGCAAATGGACTGAGGATGACATACACGGACGTTCTCATCATTCTTTGGTAATTAAAACTGCTAGTCAGGACATCAGTCAGAGGAGTCCTGAGTACTCCTCTCTGGGAAGATGCATTTTCCCCCTCTTTTCTGCACCTGGTTCCATATACCGGGGCAACAGATTCTGTGCAATAGCTCTCTGAATATTAACAGACATCTTACCTGGGGGTAACCTGAGTGACATCAGAGGGATGAAGGATCCTACAGGTAGTAAAAGTGAATGTGGAGTTTGTGGAGGAAAGACACTTCCCTGGGTTTGAGGCTGCAATACACACAAAACACAGTCAGTAAGGACAGAAAGTGAGAGAAAGGGTCTAATTAAGATAAGGTACAATTATTCTAGGATTTTTGGGACGTTTAAAGACCAAGGAAGGAATTCCCCCAAATTGAAAATATGTTATTTTAAGAGGCTTTCCATTCCTTACTTTTTTCAGTGTAAGATGAAGCGAAACAGACTGTTCAACATTAGAATTTCTGCTTCTTTAGCGTGTGCATCTTGGACATTCGTGAGAGTGCTATACCTAGTGTTCTGAGTTCAGGAATGATTCTGGAATCTAGGTTCATTCCACACTGATGTAAACTCATCCCATGACACTGGACACATCAAGTCTCTGTGTCTTAGTTTTCGCATAAGTAAAATAGGAGAGAAAAATACTTATATTCCTCCCACATGTGCCAAGAACTAGTTGCTCTTTGTGAAGTGCTCTGAAGATGGAGAGCACAAGAAGTGAATCTGATTTTTTTTTTTACTGACGTGCTTCAGTTAACGTTTTATGACTGCTGTCTTTTGGTACTTGGATGAAAACAAAGACTCCCAAGATGTTCTCTCTCCAACCAAGTACAAAATCGAGCTCTGCAAAGAAGTTTGCCTTTAAATTTCCCAGAGACAAATCCAGACTTCATTTTTGTTATTTTAAATAAGAAAATGTCAACTGTTTCTGATACAATATTTATTAAGAACACCAGAGTTTTCCTTTGACAGACATATAGTACTTGGTTGAAAATTTAATTTTCAATCACATTCATAACCAATTTTTCCACCAGCTGTGTGCTTCCGTATCACCACAGGCTTAGAGGGACAATGCCACCT